TTCAGTGTTGCTGGATCAAAATCCTGGAATACCCTTGCTAATGGAGTTGAGGCTACCATTTAAACCCATAGTTTGAGAAGGTAGCTCACCACCACCTTCTCAGTGGCATTTGGGGATGGTCAGTATATGCTGTTTCAGCCAGTGATGCCCACGAATGAATAAATGACAGCATCACAAACAGGTTGTCAAGTGAGCGAATGGAATCAATTGCACAGATTTTAATTGTGACACATCTGGGTCAGGTGGGACTTTGAATGCAAACTTTCTGGCCTAACTCAATTGGAACAGAATTAAATAAGAAACGATTCAATTGGGAATTTGCTACAAATAGTTAAAGTTTTTTTTTTTTATAGGTGATATTTGAATGGATATTTCAAAGAAAGGAAATAATCATTCAGCAGTAACTTTTTTTAAACTGGTGCATTTTGGATATGAAGGTGTTGAATGGCTAATTCTTGTTGAGAGTGAAATTTCTGGATCAGAAGAGAGCATTGCATGATATAGGACTGGGAAGATTTGCCATTCTAATATAAATGGTGCATTGGTATAGCTGTTGAGATTTGAAACTTCCTGGGAAAACACGCTTTCAGATTCAGGATAGCTGGGTGGAGGCAATAAGCAGTTGTTAGGTAAGGTGGATTTTAACAGAAGGTATGCCTGAGTAGAATGGGAAGGATGAAACAACAGCTCATTAAATAGTTCAGGCCTAGGAAGATAATTGAAGTCAAAAATACAAGAATACTCTCTTTTTTTTTTGAATAAACAAGCTCGGATTGCATTTTGTGAAGGGAAACTAATGCTGTTTGTTTATTTTTCCAGTATTTTCTGTTTTTATTTGTGCCAGCTGAACTTTTTGAATAGATAGTTGCTGAATATGTAATCCTGATTCATAGGGAAAATATGTACTTGGCTAAGCAAAACAAGTATTTGAGCATCAAATTGCTAAGAAAATATAGAACTGGCAAAGCACTTTTAAATATATGCAGAATAAAAATTCTGCCTGGATCACAAATATAGTTCTGTTTAATGATGATGTGAATGTAGCCAAAATGTTTTAACACATAACAATTTTTAAATGTTTACAACCGGGAAGAAAAGCTACAGAGCATGGATGTTTCGGTCAGTCAAAAGACAAACTCTTTTTTTATTTGGTGCTAGCTCCATGGATAAAATCCAAGTCATTAAAACACTGGGTCAAACTGGATACGCCCAAGAATTCCAGAATGGGTAGCAATAGCAAAGTGGAGATGGCTGGAGTTAGCTTGAAAGGGCATAACATTAGAGTGGGAGAATAGCAGATTCTTTTACAGGGACTGGGAGACCTGGTAGCTAAGTATATTCAGACAGTAGGACCAATGTCAAGACAGTGGAAAATTTGGAAAGAAATGGCTCCGAGTACTTATGCATTTGGAAAAATTTGAGATGTGGATAAAAATGAAAACGTAATGTATCCTGTAATACAGGTTGAGGCAGCATAATCAAAACTGAGTGATAACAAAACAGCAATTCTGTGAAAAGGATGTGTTTTGAGTGGTAGAGAGGGGTGATGAAATCATGAAGGCTCAATGCCCGTACCAATACTGTCCAATGTTTTCTCACAAGATGGAGAGGCTGGCAGTAACTGCAGCAGAGAGTTAGTAGAATACACTACGCTACAATAACAGCAGGAATATTTTGAGAAGAGTGGGTAGAATCTGTTGGAGAACCTAGATTTTGTTTTCTCTTCAGGATTGTGGTAAGTGTAAAATCACTTCTTTTAAAGAATATGCAAAACAATTATAACAATTCAAAATCTATTGGCAGATATGGATGAGGAAGGGAAATTTTGGGTTACAACCCATAGATCCTGTGTGGCATCCAGCTAATGTTTGATGCCAAAAATATAATATTGGGTTGAAATAAAAGACAAAGGAAGAATAAGTTAAAGTGAATAACATAATCAGGCTTGGTCTGGAGCATTGTGTGTATTGTTTTGGAAACCCCCAATAAAACAGCTGAATTGGGCAAGGTACAAAATAGCATAATTGGGGAATTCAGTGCATCGTTTAAGGGTTTGGGGCTTTCTAATTCTTTAGAAAAAGAGGCTTGAAGCTAACAACTGACTTCATTCTTCCAAATACTGAGAGATAAGTCGTGTTTTTTTTTTTGATTACAGCAGAAGTGTGTATTTTATGAAAACAAAAATTGATGGAAAAGCTCAGCAGGTCTGGCAGCATCTATGAAGAGATTCAGTTATTGTTTCAGGGCCGGTGACCCTTCCTCAGAACTATTTTTTGAGTGGAAGAGGTAAATTTTTGGATGGATGCAAGGTTGTTACTGTTGAGAGATATTTGTTTAACGAAATGGCTTGAAAAATATTATAGCAAGGATTATAGTTGTTTCATGTAAGTAAATTAGTATATTCAATTCCAAGTTAGACCAGTATCTGCATTCAGCTGTAAACAAGATAAGAAGCTTTTTAGGGAAAAAATACTCCCTAGTTTTGACCCCCCTCCCCCCACACCATCTTGGGGAAAAGACCTTGGCCTTTCATTTTGTGTGCCTCTTGATTTTTATAAACCTCCAAGATCACCCTTCACCCTTCAACCTCCTATGCTCCAGTGACCAAAAGGCCTAGTCTATCCAGGCTGTTTTATTTTATAACTCAAACTTTCTGTTCCTGGCAACAACATGGCAAATCTTTTCTGAACCCTCTCCAGTTTAATATCTATCTTAGTTACATTTTTGACATGGTTCCCAACTTTTGAAAGTTCTGGCTTGGAGTTCTGAGGAGTTTTTTTTTAAATTTATTCATTTGTGGGGTGTGGGCATCACTGGCTGGCCAGCATTTATTGCCCACTCCTTGTTACCCTTGAAGGTGGTGAGCTGTCTTTAATCACTGTAGCCCACCTACTGTGGGTTGACCCACAATACCTTTTTGTGCTGGGAATTCCGGGATTTTGACCCAGCGAGAGCGAAGGAACAGCAATTTATATTTCCAAGTCAGGATGGTGAGTGGCTTGGAGGGAAACTTGAAAGTGGTGATGTTCCCATGTATCTGCTGCCATTGTCCTTCTTGATGGAAATGGTCGTGAGTTTGGAAAGTGCAGTCTGAGGATCTCTAGGGAATTGTAGATTAGTAGCAGCAATGTGTACTGAGCATCAGGTGGTGGAGGGAGCGGATGCTTGTGGATATAGTGATAATCAAGTCGGCTGCTTTGCCCTGGATGGTGTCAAGCTTCTTGTGGTGTTGGGCTGCACTCATACAGGCAAGTGGGGTGTATTCCATCACACTCCTGACTTGTGCCTTGTAAATGGTGGACAGGCTTTAGGGGGACAGGTGGTGTCTTACCGGCCACAGTATTTCTACCTTCTGACCTGCTCTTTTAGCCACTGTTTGGCCAGAAACTCCAACCGGACTCGCCACAATGATCACCCCTAGGATGTTGACAGTGGGAGATTCAGTGATGGTAACACCATTGAATGTCATGGGGCAGTGTTTAGATTTGTCTCTTTTATAGGTGATGGTCATAGCCTAATACTTGTGTGGTGCAAATGTTACTTGCCACATGTCAGCCCAAGCCTGGATATTGTCCATTGCATTCGGAAACAGACTGCTTAGGTATATGAGGAGTCGTGAATGGTACTGATAATCTCTGCTATTGACCTTTTTATGATGGAGGGATAAAATTAAATCTCTAGGGCACTGCTGCAAGAAAAGATGGGTGTTTTGCCAACAAGTGTTTCATTTTTGTATGCTTTTTCATTCTCCAGTTGTTTTAAAAAGCGTGTACATACACAGGTGGAAAGGTTGGCTGTTTTGTACAGTCAAGAATTATCCAGTTGAATAACAGTCTGTACACATGGCCTTAGTACGGTAAAGCAGTACATTAGAAGGTTGGATAAATACAGTTGAAAACTCCCTACTTGCCAAGAACACAACAAAAATTGTTGATCACTTCACTTGTCCTGTTGAATGCAGCTTTTGACAAACTTTTTTTTTTTTCTGGACCAATGTACGCAGCACAAATAAAGATTTTGAATATGCAACAGCACCAAATAATAGTAAAGCAACAACTGGAAATGTATTAATTGATTAATAGGCAAAACCAAGGAAAGTATTAAGATGACAGTGTAAATTTTTTTCCCTGTGCCTTACATATTTGAAGCTAACAACAAAAATTGTTGTAACTATATAACAACACATGCACAAATGAAATTCTTAGGTTAGTTTTTAATCCATTTTAATTTTCTCATCGTTTGTGTTACAGTTGACAGAAATCCGACTGATTTGATTAAATTCCGTGGTATGAACTGGAGTTAATTATACTAATTCCTCTGTGGTTTTTATTTTTGCAATTTAGTTTGACTTTGCTTGTTACAATAGATTGAAATAATTTTGTATTGAGAACTGAATAGGGAGACTTAACTCTCTTTTTAGTCTCCTGACCTTCTATCGTTTCAAAGTGGTTTATTTTCAAATGGGTTTTTTAAACTCCTGTTTTGAAGCCTGTTTTAAAAAAGAGGGTGGGGAAGGAGGCAGTGGTAGTATCATTGGAATCCGGAACCCCAAGCTAATGTTTTTAAAGACATGAGTTTGATTCCACCGTGGTAACTTGAATCTGATGGGAGCAAATTGTTTTGAAGAATTAGGGTTCCTTAACTGTCCCACTTTAACTATTTTGAGGTATTACAATAGAACATCGAACAGAACAGTGCAGCACAAGAACAGGCCCTTTGCCTCATGTGTCTGTGCTGACCATGATGATATTCTAAACTATTCGCATCTTGCTTCTATATGGTCTGTATCCAAATACCAAGAGTGTTATGTAGTTATTTCTGTGGAGTTTCTAGCAGATTCATGTTTGTTATTTTCTGTTCAGGATAAAGGGAGTCTTTTTTTTTTATTTTTTGCTGTCAATTTGACTTGCAGTCTAATTTTATATGAAAAGAATCAATTTTAACTCTTTTTTTTTTTCCAGTTAATGACTGACTTGTATCAAATGACTTGTATGTTGCAGATTTTTTTGTGAACTCTGGATATTTTGGATATATTGGAGGCTTTGCAAAGCGATGGGCATTGTAGCCACCTTGAAATCTCAGTTCATCTGCCACCTTCTCATATGCTACATCTTTGTGGTGACTGGACTCATCATCAACTTCCTTCAGCTCTGCACCCTGGTAATATGGCCGATCAATAAACAACTCTACAGACGAATTAATTGCAGATTGGCATACTGCATTGCCAGCCGTAAGGAAGCATTTTATTCAAATTTACTGTATCTTTATAGTGTTGGATATTTGTAATTGTAGGATCAGTTGGTGTTGTGGAAGTAGAGTCATTTTTTTTTCCCATTATTTTGTATTTATGAAGTTTTTGGATTTGTGAATTCAGTTTTTGAAATGCATGTCTGTTCAACACCAATGAGCACAATAGTGACAATCTGATACTTTGTGTGTTGAGCTGTTGTGGAAAGTGTTTTTGGAAATTAATCTTATTTGTGTGTTTTGGAAACTTAAGCAGTTAGACTGTGTGAATTGAATTTCAGCCTTGATCAGTATTTTTAATTTAGTGAGATAGCCATGCTCTCCTGCGGAGCTGTCAAAAAGTTTCTATCATTTAAACTTTTTTTTTTTCCAGAATCCAATAAATTGAAATATGTGCTACTGGCATTTCCCTCCCCTCTTGCACCCTGCCCTACCAGCTAATTTTTCTCACTTGCTGTAAAGGCTACAGTCCTAGTGCTCATTCTTTTGAGCTAAGCAGTGAAATCTTTCAATCACATTTGGTTTCTGGAATAACTTTTTTAATCATGGGCAGTTATGGCTGTTTTGATCCTATTCCTGGTATCTTTCTCATTTTTGAAAAAACTGCATTGTTCTGATAATTGCATGGGAAGGAACAGAATTTCATTTTTGTCTAGCTCTTTTAGAGTCACATGAATTACCAGTATTTGTTGAGGTTGGGAACTTGCCTGTGACTGGGAGGTGATAGTATGGGTTTTTTCCTTAATTCATTCATGGGATGTGGGTGTCATTGGCTAGGCCAGCATTTAGTGCTTAATCATATTGCTATAGACCTGACCCAGGTAAGGACAGCAGTTTCCTTTCCTAAAGAACCTAAGTGGCCCATTTTGCAACTTTTCCCACAATTGACAATGGTTTCATGCTCATTGGCAGTTGGCGGAACATGAATTCATTGCCATTGCACGATTTGAACCTAAGCCCCAGAATATAACCTGCATTAATAAGAAAAACACCACCTCGAAAGAGAATTTTGTACTGAATTCTGGATTGCTAGCCTAATGACATGATTAGTCATCACCGTCGTCATAGAATCCCTGTGGATTCTGTGGTGATAGTGTGGAAACAGGCCCTTCGGCCCAACACATCCATACTGAACCTCAGTGCATCCCACCCAGACCCAGACCCATTCCCCCTGTAACCCACCTGATCTACATATCCCTCTTACACTATGGGCAATTTAGCATGGCCAATTCACCTAACACACATCTTTGGACTGTGGAAGGAAACCCACACAGACCAGGGGAGAATGTGCAACTCTACACAGACCGTCGCCAAAGGCTGGAATCGAACCCAAGTTGCTGGTGCTGTGAGGCAGCAGTGCTAACCACTGAGCCACTGTGCTGCCCTACTGTGCCACTGTCTCACTTCTGGATGAGAGAGGTGGGTTAGTGGAAAGACTTTTAATTAAGATAAGAAATGTCAAAACTATTCAAAGATCAAAGATGAATCCTGCACCTCCATGCTTAAAATGACTTTTTAACTTTGAGCGCTGTGATTTTTGTAGTGAGACATTTTTGCTACAGACACAAGTAATACAAGTTGCCAAGTAATTGTGACCTGAGATGTCTTAGAAAATGGGACATGTACATGTGATAGCCTCTTTGTTTATCACTGCAAATGATTGTGAAAAATGATAGCTGCCGACAGAGTATCACATGCTATCTTGTGGAATATTGCGAGCATGTTCTGAATTCCTGAAGGTGGTTTTTAAAACCTGAATTAGTAGTAGGTTCCTAAATCGGGAAACGTCGGCAAGGTATTGCGACCTCGGACAGTTTTTTGACTGTGGAGTAAAGGTAATATCTGTAGCCACTTATGAAATCAAGAAGCCGTGGTTGAAACAAAAACTGAAATTTTGTCTTAACTTTGTATGCATTATTTCTCTTATAATTCATGCAATTAAAATGGTTCTGGATTAAATATGGTGACTTGTATACATTTGTTAATGTATTTATAAAAATACACTAAAATAAATTACCAACAGCATTGATGCTGGCAGAGCAGTAGATGTTGTTTATTTGGATTTTAGTAAAGCCTTTGAGAAGGTTCTGCATGGAAGGCAAATTAGTGAAGTTAGATCATGTGGGATTCAGGGTGAGCTTGCCAACTGGATATGTAATTCTCTTAATGGCAAGAGACAGAGTAATGGTGGAGGGTTGCTTTTTGGACTAGAGGCCTGTGACCCAGTGGTGTTCCACAGGGATCGGTCTTTTTTGTCACTTTTTATATAAAATGATTTTGATTAGAATACAGAAAACATGGTTAGCAAGTTTATGGATGACACCAAAATTGGTAACATTGTGGACAGTAAAGAAGGCTTTCTAAGATTACAAAGGGATCTTGATCAAATCTGTTTAATGGGCTGAAAAATGGCAGATGGAGTTCAGTCTGAATGCATACAAGGGTAGGGCTTATACAGTTAATAGTAGGGCCTTGGATAATATTGTAGAACAGGGGGACCTGGGTGCAGGTACACAATTCTTTTTAAAGTTCACGTATAGACAGCATGGTTAAAAAGGCATTTGGCATGCTTGTCTTTATTGCTGAGTTGTTTTGAGTGTAGGAGTCGGTATATTAAACTGAGGTTGTACAGGAGACTGAGGCCTCTTCTGGAATGCTATGTCCAGTTTTGGTTGCCTAGTTATAGGAAGGATATTATCAAGGTGGAGAGGGTTCAGATAAGATTAACTGGGAAGTTGCTGGGTATGGAAGGTTTGAGTTATAAAGAAAAGCTGGATAAGCTGGGACTTTTTTTACACTATATAGTGTAAGAGGTTGAAAGGTGACCAGATAGAAGCTTCTAAACTAAAATAATGAGAGGTATAGATAGAGTTGATGGTGGTTGTCTTTCCCTAGAATGGGGAGTTTCAAGTCTGGGGGACATGTTTTTAAGGTGAGAGGAGAAAGATTTTTAAAGAAGCCATGAGGCAAACTTTTTTAAAGGGTGGTTTGTGTGTGGAATGAACTTTCTGAGGAAGTGGTGGATGCGGGTACAATTACCACACTTAAAATCCATTTTTGGATGGATTTGTGAATAGGAAGGTTTGGAGGGGTATGGGCCAGGAGCAGGCAGGTGGGACTAGTTTGGTTTGGGATTATATTTGGCATGGACTAGTTGGACCGAAGGAACTGTTCCTATGCTGTATTACTCTATGGCAGTGGCATGGTTAGAAAGACCTGCTTTCTGAACAGGGTAATGGCAAGGGTTTGGTTGGAGACCTTTTGCAACACAGAAGAAAATCACTTGACACACTTTTTTTAAGTCTGTGTTGCCATCCTGTGAACAAACAATTTTCCTTAATCCCAATGCCAGAAGGGCATAGCAGCTGCACCACTTTCATGTTATGTCATAAGAATTCTTATGCTTCTGCAAGCAAGATTCCCATTTTGCATAGTTAATGCCACTGATTTTCATAGCAACTAGCTGATTTTGAGAATTCAGATCCTAATTTTTCCGAGGTGAAAAAGCAGGGCACTACTAGCCCACTGCATCACTTGATTCCTCTGCCTTTAAATTTTTAGTTTCAATGTAATGCAAATATGTGTTTGCAAATCCTGCTAGCTAGCATGACGTGAATGTTAAAACACCAGGTCAAATGTGAAATTGTACACACAATCTTTACTTCGTCTGGTCTATAATTCTGCATATACAAAAATGCTTGGTTGTACATCACTTCCTTTCTTATCGTGACTGGCTTTATCTAGAATATGCCATTTAATAGCCATTGTCAATTAAAGGACTTGTATTTTAAAAAAAACAAAATTAGTATAAAGAAATGACACTGGAAATGTAATTGAACTAAGTGGCAATCCCAGACTTAATGACTTGTGTTCTAACAATAGAATAGCAATTTATTGTCACATGTATTTTTACAAGAGAAGTTTTTAAGTCCCCATACCATGGCACCTATATTAATGACTGAAGTCATAGATTAAAAAGAACAAAGTAAAAATTAAGACAGTTCATCTTGAATGAATTCCAGTTTTTGGGGAAAGTTGATTTTGGGACGATGAATGCTGGAATACTCGGAACCAGCCATCGAAGATCACAAAGTCAAGGACGCCATAACAGGATGCCACTGTTCCAGGCAAGAATACAAGACCTCAATGCTTAGACTGGGTGAAATTGCCATGCTGGGTGACTGGAATACCCAGAAGCCACCACAGATGATCTCCACACTGAGACCTTCATGCCAGGACAAGACCACCAAACCTCGGCTGCCACACAGGAGACTGCAGTGCTGGGCTGAGGCCGCTGGGCTGAGGCCACTGTGCCACGCTAGAAGCTGCTACCTTGCTGGGCCTGGGCCAGGAGAAATCTCCTTCTGCTGAAGAAAGTGGAAACAGTAAAATAATAAATAGACACAACATTTTAAGAAAAAGCAGAAAGGGGAAAACAAAAGTAAAAATCAGAGGGAGTAGTTGAACTCTGGGCTGAGGAGCCTGTAAGCTGCACTGCTATGCCATCGCCACCTTGCTTCAACTTCAAAAGGCTTTGAGGGCTAGCTGGAGGGATAATGGATGCAATTGTTTTTGATCCTCCAGAATGCCTTAAATTCTCACGTAGATTAAAGGAACACAACTGGTTGAAGTCATACTTGGAACAAAGGAGGGTGGTTATGGTCGCCCTGTGACTGAGCTGATTAGTCCCTGACATTACTAAAGGTAGTGTCCTAGACCAAACCACCACCTTCAACCGTTTCATCATTACTTTCCCTTTAAAATCAGGGGTATGGTTGTTTTAATTTCGGCACCCCCCTCCCCCAAAAAAAATTCAGCATGATTCACAACTGCTCACTTTTTTGAAGCGTGTTTGTTGCTGGACGGCTTCCAGGCTTGAGCTGATAAGAGGCAAGTGGCATTCATGCCAGACAATGAACATCCAACTTACTTTCCTTGACATTCAATGGGATTAATTATTATCTTCAGGGTTGTCATTAATCCTGAAACTGAATTAGAACAGTCAAATGTT